GAAGACCTGTCAAAGTCTCTGAAATGTCATATCCCAACTTCCCCCTCTCTTTGTTTACTGGGAAACCTGGATGATGTCCCGATTGAAAAATCTTTGGTTCACGTGGTTCTGACTGCCATATGCATCGCTAAGAAAACTATCCTCATGAATTGGAAAAATAGAGAAAATCTCTGCATTAACCAGTATAGAAATCTTTTGTTAGATCATATTGCACTTGATTTAGCCTCTGCTTCCACTTCAAATAAATCTCTCTGGGCTCCTTTGATCGGTTCCATCACATAGCGGTGATGGGGGGCCGTTGATGATGTCCTGCGGGATGGTGTGGGTGGGGGGGTGGAGGGTCTGAGTTTGGAGTATCTGGATGTTCCCTGGGGATGGGTTCACTGGGGATGTCTGGCACTGGGGGGCCGTTCCCCCCCTCTGGAGGTGCTTGGGTTGCCTCGGGGGGTGTACTGCTGGCGGTTGTGAGTGGGGCCCCTTGGAGGTCTTGGTGGCGGCCATGGGTCACTGCCTGGCGGCTGCGTTGCCCCTGGGTGGGTCTGGGTGGGGGCCTGGGGGCTCGGGGTGTTGGGGTGGCCGGCCCCGTGTGGGGATCTGGGCTGGGCCTTGGGGGTCGGGTCCCTACATGTACGCTGCCGGGAAGAAGGCAGGAATACGCAGAAGTACCTGGCCCGGGTTCTGGGGCGTAGGGCAGGCCCTGGCTCCTCTGTTGTCCCATCACAGGGGAGGGGGAGGTCCAGGAGGGGGAGGACCCAACCTTACCTGGATGTCTTATGTCTTATATATTCTGGAAGTTGTGCAAATGCAGGGATGGGCATAGATATTCTGCTGGGGTGGGGCTGGGTCGGCTCCCTCGGGCTCTGTGGGGCTCTGTGATGCTGCTGCTTTGGGCCCTGGCAGGATGGGCTGGGGTCTCCATGCCCTGGGCGGCGGTATGACAACGGAGGTGCCTATTGGGGTCAGTGGGGGAGCTGGCTCCCTGGAGGGCTAAGCCCTACCAGCCATTCCTCCCCATCCCCGTTTATTTCTCTCCTCCTGCTCCCTCACATCATCACACAAACATGCACATAGGACCTTGGGGGGTGGACAAGTCGGGGAGTGCGGGTATGGACCCCATTTCCGCATTCCTGTGGCTTCCCGCCCCCCAATTTTATTTGCACCTTATGCACTTCCACCGACGACATTCCACGCAAACATACACTTAGGGCCTTGGGAGTGAGCACATTCAACGGCACTTGGCAGGGGGAGTTCTCAGCCTCCTCCCGAGTGCCGGTGCCCACTTCGAATTTTAAACTGCATTTAGACACCAAGGGCTGTGGGTGCAAGTAGGGTGGTGCAGTGGCATCAGCTGGCATAGGCCAGAAAATGCCCGCACTGCCCGCTCACCACAGCAATAGAATACACCTCATTAACACACAACACTATGTTGGAGCAGGTGGAGGGAGACCAGGGGGTCTTAGCACACCTCTGTTGTTGCTTGGCTGCCTGGGGCTGGAGACTAGGAGGGAGATCTGGCCGTCTGGTTGGGGTCTGGGGTGGTGGGTTGCTGTGCTCGGCGGTGGGCGGGGGAGCCTGCTCATCAGCACCCCAGCAGAAAGGGTCAAACTCTGGTAACCGGTGGTGGTTGTACCCCATGTGCAGCATTACCGGGACCAGAGTGAATAGGGTGTGTATGGGGAGCATGAATGGGTGTCCGGCGTGTATTTTTGTAAGTCTTTGGTTGTATGTGCATGTGTGAGCATGAGGGAGGGAGTGTGTGACTGTGTTTGTGTATGACTGTATATGTCAGGTGGGGCCTTTGACTCCTCCCTTCTCCTGGGACCTCCTTTGATGATATAGATCTTCGTCTCCCCTCCCCCCTGTCACACCTGGTGTGGGTGTGATGCCTTGGTCTGCCTGAGTGTTCGTGGATCCCGGGTCAGGGAGTTTAAGATTTTTGGCATCTGCCTGATCAATCCCGGTGGCGGCCTGGGGGGGTCTGGGTCCCTGGGCTCTGCTGGGTCCCCGGTGGGGGTGGTCGCCCCTGGGTCCCGGGTCACTGGGTCCCGGACTCGGCCGGCTAGGGGGTGGGAGGCTGCGGGCAGGCCTGAGGACTTGCCGCTGATATCTCCCGGGGCTCTGCCGGCTGCTGGTTGTGGCCCCCCGGGGCGATCCTCTGTGCCTCTCGAGGGGGGCGGGGGCCTTTCTGGTTGCGGGCTCCTTGGGGTTCCTGTGTTCTGGGGCAGCGCCTGGATCTCTGGGACTTGGAGCTCCCCCCCGTCTCCTGCGCGTCTTTGGGGGGCGGATCTGTGGTCCCTCACACTCTCTGTTGGGCGCTCCTATAGATAAACCTTGCATGGACGGGCGCGTGTACACGCGCAGGTGCTCACATGGTGCTCTCATGGGTATGGGCTTGGGCACGTTCAACACATGTCTTGGGACTGTGGTGGGCACTCAATGCACTGTGGTATATTATCGTGTGACTGTTTAGTTAAACAATGATTGATTATGTATTTCTTCATCAGGTTGACGCAGTGATGGCTTGATTTTGTTATGTTGGTGTTGTGTCCCATTTTTTTGTTATGTTTTGCTTTTTTTCTCGTCTCGTTTTGCAGGTCTGGAAGCAGACTCTTGTTCATTGTTGTTTGTTTTTGTTGAATCCCCCCCCCACCTAACCCCCTCTCTCCCCACCTTTTCTCTTTTCCTTTCTCTTTCGCCTCTGTCTCCGTGTCTGGTCGAAATTACAAAGCATTCAAAAACAATAACAATAAAGTTTTAAATATCAGGTGCGACATTAAAAGCAGACTCTTTGATGCTCCACCTGAGACATTAAAAGCAGATGCTCTGATGCTCCACCTGAGAGTAAAACTGTAAGGCTTGTTACCAGCATTCAGACATCAATTCTGCTTGCTTCACAGCCAGACAGGACACGTTAAAAAAAAAAAAAAAAAAAAAAAAAAAAAAAAAAAAAGAAGACATTTATTATTTCTATACATGTTTTGGCTGTCAAACTTCCATAATGCACCTTTAATCTGCACCTTATATTATTTAGACTCATCATTAACATTTATAATTAACAATTCATTTAATCCAACAGTGAAATGTGAATTATCTATGAAAAGAACAGATTGTGCCTAAAGGAAGTGAGCATACAAATAAAACTAGATGCATTATAGAAAAATTACCTCACACAACATCTGCATTTTTGTAATTCTCTCCTCAAAGCCTGAGGGAAATGGCTTTGAGCGAACTCCAACATGCTCCGTTTGAACAAAACTACCAACAGTTACTTCTCTCATCCTGCCTTTTTATTAATTATGCTGTTCAGAGTGGGGACGGGTCAAATAATAAGGTCCCTGGGAAATTTCTGGGTCCAGCTCCAACATTAATAAAATCTGCCCCGCCATGTGATGTCCCAACATCCAACAGCCCTGACACAGCTGGATCAGACCCAGATCACAGAGGCAGCTACGATCCCTTACAGAGAGATGAGTGTTTGAGTGTTAGAGGGCATGTGCAGCAATAAAATATGCACCACGGCACTCTGATGTCGAGGTTTTAGACAGCAAGTAAAAACATCTGTGTACATTTTTCTATTCACCTGATTCATTGTCCACACACTGTTCCAGCTGAGAAGATTCACTAGCTCTAACTTCATCACAAGAAAAAAGCAATGAGGACATTCCACTTTGCATTTTTTGATTTGGGGCCATAAGAGCTTTAGTTTGATGGAAATTAACAATATCAAAAATATTCTAACTAATAATATTAAGGTAATAATAATGCAATGTAAAATGTTATGCCTTTTCTTCAAACAACTCAATATTCTTTAGATTTAGTTTTGCAATTTTCTTTGTTATTGTAATGCTTTGATGAGATGGAGGGACTTTAGATATGATCTACCAATGGGTTGAGAAGGCAAAGGGTTAAAAAGAACGTTGGCCGGGGGTTAGGTCTGAAACCCAACATCAGTAATTGCAGCTCTTTGAGTTAACACAGATCTAAACTAGGGATGCACCAATATGAAGTTTTTGGGCAAATATCCATATTAATATCACTGTTAAGGCCGATAACCGATATTTGCCGATACCGATCTACGCATCTGAAATCAACAAATTTTGTATTAACTGAAATTAATTTGAATGTTTTGCTATGTGGAATTTGTTATTTACACACACTCTTACGCTTCTGAGATGATTACCATCACTGTCACAGGATTAAACTATTACACATGATCACCCCCCTAACCCTATATGAAACTGACACACAAACGGAAACAAGATGGAAAAAGTATCAGTTGTTAATATCGGCCCAGTTTTACTTACCTATCGGGCCGATACCGACATCGATGCAGATATACCGTGTTTCCCTAATCTAAACCATAGTTTGTTCTTCTGGGATGTAAGCTAAATCCTTTGGTTTTTGAAATATCAACAAGTGGGAAAATTCTGTATTTCACGAACTTCATCCAAACTTGATCTTGATCTTGGTCCTGGAGGGCCAGTATCCATCTTCTTTAAGTTTTAACTGTTTCAACACACCTGATTTCAGTCAGCAGGTGATTGACAGATTTCTGCAGAGCCTGATGAGCTGCTGAACAGGTGAAACAACTAAAACATGCTGGATACCGGGCCCTCCAGGACCAGGATTGGCAACCACTGATCTAGAGGTTCAAATCATCACATAGTTGTTCCTGATAGCCCTTGGGGCCTCTAAACTATTGAACACTGGCGTCCAAACGTGGTTGATGAGAGATAGTTCACTTTCCTGACAGGTTTTGAGGTTTATCTGCTGTAACACACTTGATTTGAATCAGTGGGTGATTCACAGGCTCCCGTAGAATTTGGAGACATGCTGACAAGTTATGTTGGAACACAGAAAACACCAAAAGATCCAAGTAACTGGACCTGAAGGACTAGAATGTGACACCAATGCTGTAAAATTAAAGTCAACCCAATCATCCATCCATTCATTATCTGAACTGCTTACTCCACACAGGCTCATGGGGAGGTGGTGCCTACCTCTAGCATCAGATGAGAAGTGGGGGGCACCCTGGACAGATCATCAGTACATCACAGGGATGCACGGAGACGAACATACTCGCATCTAGGGAATATTTAGAATCAGCCTGACATGCATGCTTTGGGTCTGTGAGAGGAAGCAGTACCTGGAGAAAACCCACACATGCATGAGAACATGCCAACTGCATCCAGAAAGGTTGCAGAGGGGATCAAACATCATCATCATCATCATCATCATCATCAATAAAGTCCAAAGGAGCAACCTACAATGCAAATGAGGAGACTTTTCTGAGGCTGCACTAACAGGAAAGCCAATGTTCCCGGACAGAATATCCTAAATCACGAAAAACAGCTCGGCTCAGCCTTACGGTGCAGACCGACTGAAACCCACCCACTAATTTCTGAAAGGCTCTTAGAATTGGCAAACATAAGTAGCAGACCCTGATAAGCAATTAGCTAAATGGGTCCTTGGGATCTAAGCTTGATCAACAGAGTAGAGGGGGGTGCATGCTAGCGGACTCGTTACACACTTACTTCTCACCGGGAGGCACGTGCACAGAAGAAAGCTTATCACAAAGAGATGATTAGCCTCAAGAAAAATTACACCAACAGAGAAATCAGCACAGGGGAGTATTGAAAACAACCCCATCAATAAATACGGTGGTTATGCAACTATAAAAAGACACATGAAGACAGCTACTTTCCCATTTCCCCTTTTCTGTGTGAGGGAGCTTATGTAATATTTTAGGGTAAGTGCTAGCTAACAGTTCAGTTTTGCCAAAACTCAGCACTGCATCACTGTCAAGAGAAAAATGTGGAAATATGAACTGTTTTCTTCATTCTGTAGTGCACAATGGGCTCAAGTCATCCCTCATCTTTTTATTTTTCATTTCCATGGATGCAGACTTTCCTGTTACCCAGCAGAAAAAATCCTTTAAAAAAGGCAGATTTTTGCTTGTAGTTCTTCTTGAGTGTTCTTCATTTAGAGGTACTTGACAAGTGAAGTGAAATGAAATGCGTCTGCACCACAACACACCAAATATCCCTGAAAAAGCAGTTTGAAACAAAAAGAGCAAACCAGACTTTACACAGAAGTTCAAGTAACACGGAGCAGTTTCCTGCTCCGCACCCTACTGGCTGAAAGTGGAATTACAACGGTTGTAAACAACCCTGCTGTAGCTAGTGCTAACAAGGAGCTAACACTAACATGAACCAACTAATACTAAAATAAACCACCAAGTAAAAAGATCCACATTGTTGGACAAAAAATAGTTTCCTTACAAGTCCAGTAACAACAAAGCCAGGTCACCATCAGCCCTTGATTTTGTAGCCTCCTTTAGCTCCCTCAAACTAGCGTAGGCCGCAGCAATGTTCACGCCGCTTTTAGCTCTTTGTTTCCCCTTCAAAGACATTACTCTCTTACTTTTACTCCACCATGATGCCAACAGAAAAAGAAACCTCTTCTTTATCTTCTTCTTGTGCTTTTTTACTGACGATTACACCTAACAGCCATAAAGCCGGTAAAGAGCTCCCCGTATAGGACACCTACCAGCTCCACAACACTGTTGTATCTGGCCGTCTGCAAAGGGCTGCACAGTGATGCCATATATAAAACTGGTCAAGTTTCCAACTCATCACTAGAGGTCAATGTTAAGAAGAAGAAAATATAATTTCCTCTCAAGATAAAAATCACGAGGCGCTTCACAAAAACAAAAAATATAAAAAATTGCTAAAAATATAAAAAAGCACTTGGAAAATGTTTACAAATATATTAAAAATGAGCAAGAATAAGCAATTGCGATTAAAAAGAAAAAATGTTAAGAAAGAGAGAGTGAACAGGAAAGAGGGAAATCAGTGGATCCTGAGGAAGGTGGAATAGGTGGGGAGAGCAGAATAAAGAGAGAGTGGTGAAGAAGGTCATACAAAACCAGCTTGAACAAGTGAGTCTTCAGCTGCTTTTGAAGGAGACCACTGAGTCCACTGATCTCAGGCTCAGGGGGAGAGAGTTCCAGAGTCTGGGGGCCACAGCAGCAAATATCTGTCACCTTTGGTCTTTAGCCTGGTGCGCTGCACAACCAGTAGGCTTTGATCACTGGACCTCAGGGACATGCTGGGGGAGTAGGGACTAAGAAGATCACCAATGTAAGATGGTGCTTGTCCATGTAAGGCCCTATAGACCAGAACCAGGATCTTGAAATAAACCCTGGAGTTGACTGGCAGCCAGTGAAGCTGGAGGAGAAGCGGGGTGATGTGGGTGTATTTGGAGGACTTGGTCAGAAGCCGAGCACAGACATTCTGAACCACCTGTAGTCGGTTCAGGGAGGTTCTGCTCAGACACGTGAAAAGAGAGTTACAGTAGTCTAAGCGTGAGGAGATGAAGGTGTGGAGAACTGTCTCAAGTTCAGAGCGGGACAGAATGGGACTCAGATTAGCAACGTTCCTGAGATGGAAGAAGGAAGAGCGAACAAGAGAATTGACATGAGAATCCAGGGTGAGAGCTGGGTCAAAGGTCACGCCAAGATTCCTGACAGAAGGTTTGGTGTGAGAAGCAAGCTGACCAAGAGAGTCTCTGACTTTGGGAACCAGTTTGTCTGGGGCACAGATGAGGATCTCAGTCTTATCTTCATTCAGCTGAAGAAAGCTCCCAGCCATCCAGGTTTTGATAGTCTAAGCAGGTGTGTAACAGCTGCAGCTTAGACATCTTATGGGGCTTAAAGGAGATGTACAGTTGGATGTCATCTGCATAAAGATGGTAGGAGATTCCTTTGAAGGAGCTCAGGATGTGCTGAAGAGGAAGCAGATAGAGGAGGAAGAGTAGAGGCCCCAACACAGAACCTTGTGGGACACCATGGGTAAGAGAGGTGGTGGAGGACCTAAACTTGGAGATGGCCACAGAAAAGGAGCGCTCAGAGAGATAAGAGGAGAACCACTCCAGAGCAGATCCTGATAGGCCTACCCAGTCTCTCAGCCTCTCCAGTAGCAGGTGATGGTCAACAGTGTCAAAGGCTGCAGTCAGGTCCAGCAGGACCAGAACAGAACAGTCCCCTGCATCACTGTGAGTCAGAAGGTCATCAGAGACCCTAAGAAGAGCTGTTTCAGTAGAATGAGCTCTACGAAAACCTGACTGGAAGCTATCATAGATGTTCTGTTCATCAAGAGCAGCTGTGAGTTGTTTAGCCACAACCTTTTCCAAGATCTTGGAGATGAACGGAAGTGTAGAGATGGGTCTGAAGCTGCTATGGAGAGAGGGGTCAAGACTCGTTTTTTAAGAAGCGGGTGGATTACAGCGTTCTTAAAGTAAGCAGGGACCTGACCAGAAACCAGAGAAGCATTAATTATAGAGAGCACGCTGGGACCGATGGACAGAAAAGCACTTTTAAACAGCCTAAATTAATAAACAACATTTGGTGTTACTTTAAGACGTTTACAAATGTAGCCAGGGGAGTTTCTCAATGTCAAGGCGCCTGGCCTCGCGAGGACACTGTCCTTTATTAGTCAAGAAAGGAAAATACTTCACTGGCTGCCAGTCAACTTCAGGGTTCATTTCAAGATCCTGGTTCTGGTCTATAGGGCCTTACATGGACAAGCACCATCTTACATTGGTGATCTTCTTAGTCCCTACACCCCCAGCAGGTCCCTGAGGTCCAGTGATCAAAGCCTACTGGTTGTGCAGCGCACCAGGCTAAAGGTCAAAGGTGACAGATCATTTGCTGCTGTGGCCCCCAGACTCTGGAACTCTCTCCCCCTGAGCCTGATCAGTGGACTCAGTGGTCTCCTTCAAAAAGCAGCTGAAGACTCACTTGTTCAAGCTGGCTTTTGTATGACCTTCTTCACCACTCTCTCTTTATTCTGCTCTCCCCACCTATTCCACCTTCCTCAGGATCCACTGATTTCCCTCTTTCCTATTCACTCTCTCTCTTTCTTAAATTTTTTTAAACCACAATTGCCTATTTTTGCTCATTTCAAATATATTTTTAAACATTTTCTAAATGCTTTTTTTATTTTTACATTTTTTGTTTTGTGAAGCGCCTCGTGATTTTTATCTTGAGAGGCGCTATAGAAATGATACTTTCTTCTTCTTCTACTTCTTCAAAGAAAACATTAAATGGAACAGACCTGCATCCCGTGACCGCGGCTTCCACGGCGGTCACGTAACGTCACGTGACATGGGAGATAACGTTATATTTTATACGTATTAGTTTCAATATAAATATATAACGAGACTTTTACTTTTCAAAATGTGTATATGTTTATTAAATTAAATATATAAGTGAGTTACTATCCGCTAGCCACCGAAGCTGCAACTACTAAGCTACTAACCAACCATAGATAACTTCGTTGTATCTAAAAAAAAAAAAAACCTATTTAAATTAGTTGGCTTACTTTTAAATTTGAAATTTGTCCCCGAAGTAGCTGCCGGCTTCTGATCCTTTTGAAAATTCCGCCATGTATTCTGGGTAATTTTTGACCAAGGCTAGGCTACAAGACACCTCCCCTGTATCCTTGCTCAGTTAGCTAAACAGCTAACAAACGGAGAACACACGCCTCAGTAGAACATGAACATTGGAACACGTCTTGGCGGCTCCTGATGACGTATCTCCTAGGCAACCGGGGCGGGGCCAAGACATCAAGGCGAGGTTCCTTGGCATTGAGAAACACCCAGGTGTTTTTAAAACCAAATGTCCTGCCTCGCCCATCTAGAAATAAAACTTGAGCCCACCTTATTTTCAATAAAAATGTCCGGTGCATCGTGAAGCACGTTCATAGGCCTGCCAAGCCTGTAGGCATCTTTGTTGAAATGACTTCGTTGTAAATGGTTTACCTGGGTGGCGGGAAACAACTGTTTGTAACGTCTTCCTTTGCCTGTGGTCTTAAGGGTAGTGATGGGTACCGAATTTGGTACTTTTTAAGGTACAGACCGAATTCCATAGTACCGACTGAGCACCGATTCACGTCATTTGAAACGGTGCCTCGTTTCGGTACCCGTCCTTCGTAACGAGAACTTGCCTAGACAGCTGCGCATGCGCAAGAGCATTACGTCGTCGGTCGCTGCGAGCCAGATGTAAACAGAGCAGCATGGTAGAAAGAACACACACTAAAGCTTGGGTCCACTTCACTAAATGTGATGGGTAACTGGGTGATGATG